TCATGTCCTGAAGACTCCTTGCCCCATAGGATGGGGGTACAAATGAACCTGCAGGTGACTTAATGACAGTAAGAGATATCTGTGTGCTTTCTGCAGTTTACAAGGCACTCTATTATGGTCAGAATTTTGTTGTAGGCAAGATAAATAATTCCATTTTACAAGTGAGGACACCTGTAAAGCCTTAGGTTAGGGATTTGCTCAGTCCCTGATTATAAGCCCTGTACCCCATCTCTCCCCTATTTCAAGAATTGAGGTGGCCAGTCCCATCCAATAGCCAGAGCAAGAGGGTCTTAAGCAGCAAAAAGCAAGGAAAGGGAGACTTCCTGACAGCCTCAAAAGAGGCCTGGGGCCAGCTAGTGAATCCCACCAGGGTGCCATTTGCCCCCTCTCTGCCCAGAGCTCTGTGAGCAGAAAGCAAGCCAGAGACAACTCTCTTCTAAAAGGCAACTTGATGAGCAAGGACCAGACGTCTGTATACTTAACTCACAAAAAACGTTACTAGATAACGCTGCCAATTCAGTTTCATTTTCAAAAAGGTTTCTGTTTGGTAATGGCTCATTTCCCCTTTTGAGTCTCAGCAAAATGAAAAACAGTCAACACCACCTCAGCAGCTAATGAGCTCCAGAGAACAGGTAGGAGGTGTGACCCTACCCCTGGCAGGAGGTGGCCCTCACCCCTACCCTGCTGCTCCCCAATTACAGGAATGTCTGGGAAGGAGGGAGATAACAGCTCCTTCCAATCTGTTAACTCCAACTGTGGGCCTGGGCCTACTCACCACCGGTTCACCCTTTCTCTTCCCTCCTCCCTCCTGAATATTCATGGTGCTGGGGAGCAGGTGGGAAAGATGCAACTGAGGAGTAAAACCACTGGGTGCCAGCCTTGGGGGCTGGTGGAGATGAGCTTGGCACTGAAAATGCAAAGGTCCTCATTTTTGAGGAATGGTGAGTGTCCACACTGCATTAGCTGCTTTACAGTTCCAGTCCTGCGCCCTCAGCAGGAACAGGAGCAGATGGAGGGCTTGCCTTCACCCTGGCCAGGTGCGAGCTCCTACCAACCCTGTCGGTCTCTGGTGGTCTAGCACAGGGATTCTCAAACCGGGGTTCCCAGAGCAGCAACACCTGGGAAGTTGTTCAAAAAGACTCCTGCCCCACCCCAGACTTGTGCATCAGAAACTTGGGGGGAGGGGGTTTGTACAGCAGATTACATTTGTCAGGCACTCCTTCAGGTACTTCTGATGAGGCTTGCTGCTGTAGTAACTGCAGGAACCAGAGGCTGGAGGCAGCCCAGGCTTTGGATCTCAGCCCTGCCACTTAGCAGCTGTGCATCTGAGTCTTAGTCTTGGCAGCTAGAAAATGGGGATCATCCAAGAAGATGTGGTGTACGTACACAATGGAATATCACTCAGAGATGAAAGAAGATAAACTCATGCCATTTGTGACGTGGATGGAGCTGGGAGAGATTATGCTAATGTAAATAAGTCAGTAGGAGAAAGACAAATACCGGATGGTGTCATTTACATGTGAAATATAGAGAGACCAAAGGATGAGATAAAATCGAACTTAAAAACCAACTCTTGAAAGCTGCCCATGGAACTGAGACATCCAGCGGAGAGAAAGGGGGCAAGGTGAGAACAAAGCAGGCAGAGAGCACATGGACAATGGTAGTGGAATGTGGGTGCCCTGGTGGTGGGTGCACCGCGGTGACTGCACGGCGTGGGCGCGGAATCCTCTACTGACAAAGCACTAGCGACTATGTACACCAATGGTGCTTCAATACAATTTTAAAAAATGGGGATCATCATACTTCATAGTGTGTCTGAATGGATTAAGGAAGGTAATGAATTAACACACTTGGTTCCTGGTGCTCAGTAAACTGTGACTCTCCCACTTCTGGAAATCAGATTAGACAGGGTGACCTCGAGAAGGTCGTCACATCAGACCCTACCAGATGTGGCTTCTGAGTTATACCCAAAAAACCAGTGACTGACTGGTTCTCAGTGCATGGGACCAGAAAGTCGGTGGAGCTGATTTATTTCCAGCATCTCTGCGGGGAGGAGCAGGGGCCACCTTCCTTTCCAGTCACTTACTGAGGTGATCAGTGCCACCTGCTTTGTAGGCAGAGGCTCCATTATTTCTAGTCTCCACCTCTCCTCCTCCTCAAAAATGGTGAGGTGACACCCTGACTTCTGCAGGTGGCAGAAGTCTTCCACCTAGCATGTGGACGGGGGCTCCTCATATACCCCAATCACTGGCTAAAGGCACCAACCCTGCCAGGGGTAAGAAGGCAGTGTGTCATCCTGTGTGCAACAAACCCCAGGTGCCTCCATCAAAAGCAGGGCAAGCAGGTGAGGCAAGAAGGAAAGGAAAACATCTGTGCCTGAAAGCCAGACTCGGTGACCACAGTGGAATCTCCATGGAATGCTCCACTTAATAAGAGGCTTAAACGATACCTTCTCGCTCCCATTCATGGAACAAGCCTGCATCCTGGAGCTATGGGGACCAGGGAGGGACCTGGCCTCTTTTCCCTTCCTTCCTCTTCTCCTCTTTCCCTTTAAAAGAGAAGCTGTGTGAGCAGCAAGATCAACCTCCCTCTGTGGGCCCAGAGCTGCTGCTCATGTTACTCCAGCGGAGGTCAGGGAACTGGGCTCGGGGGGTGACAGGGCCAGTGAGTCAGCTGGTTGGAGTCTTGTGGGCGGGGAGCACTCTGTTTTCATGACTCTTTTTGGGGTCAAGCCCACAGTGGCCTGAAGTCGAGGTCATCTCTCAGGCTGAGGCTGCCTTCCCACCTCCAGAGTGGCTGAGACATGGCTAGGCACAGAGGGTATGCCTTGTGCCTTTGAGTCATACTGCCACAAGCCCCACAGGCCCTGGTGCAGATCCCCGTAAGGACTGGCAAGTGGTTGCTGACCACTCACCAGCCCATCAGTCACAACTCCGGGACTCTGATGGTCCCCTTTACAGATGAGCAAACGGCTCCAGAAGGTTGCATGACTCAAATTGCCAGTGCCCAGGAGGGCTGGCTGCAAGGCTTCTTGACCTCCACACTGCATCGTTTCCTACAACCTGCAGTCCATGACAGGTCACAGGGGTGACCTCAGGCAGGAGCAGAGTAGGGGAGGAGGGCATATGTAACCAGAAGGGCAGGGGCTGGAAACTGGGCAGGGCAGGGCCTGGAAGCAGCCTAAGATTTCGTGCCTGACAAGGAGTGGGGTATGGGCCCAGGGTTAGGATTCACAGGGCCCAGTCCAGCTGCCCTGGTCAGACTGCCTCAGGCCAGGGCCAGTGCCAGGGTTCTGGGCAATGTGCCCTCGCTGCACAATACCCACCCAGGTCACGGAATGAGGAATAGGGGCAGTAGGTGTCAAGAACCTGGAAGAAAGTCAAGTTTCAGCCAGGAGAGCAAGAGGCCAGGGTGGGCACGGACCTCCGAGTTGAGGAAGCCCTAGATTTGATTCTTGTCCTAGCCACTAATAGCTGAATGACCTTGGGTAAGTTACTGAATCTCTGAGCCTCACTATGTTCACCTACAGATGGAGCAATAATGCAATAATGCAGGCTCCTGCCCTCCTCCTCCACTTCTGCTCCTGCACAGGGGGGTAAGCAGTGGGTCAGGAGTCTAGGCACTTGGTGCAAAGGCTCCCCTGGACCCTGGGTCTGTGACCACATGTCCAGTTCCAGCCTCCACTTTTTGGTAGGGCTAAAATTCTTCCTAGGATTCTGCCAGTGCCAAAGCTAGACTGGGAACTGGGTTGACCTCTGTCAGCAGGTGGAGGGTAGGTGGACTCAGGCAAAACTGGCACTGACAATGCACAAAGGAGCTGATGATGGTAAAAGAAATACAAGATGTTTTCATTCAGAAAGTCCACAAAGTTTAGATAAGTAGGGACAGTGCATTGAACCTCCACTGGTATATAATCTCTTGGCTGATGTTGGCCCTCTCACTTCTATTCCCAGTTATCTTTAAAAGCACTACATGGTCTCAAAAGCAGGGGTCCTGAAGTGACTTCCTCCCACATCACATCCAAGCTGATTAGGAAGCCCCAAATCTTTTCTTGGGGGCATTGGGTCAAAGATAGCAGAATGAAAGGTCTTTGCTAATGATACCCAGCCCTGGCTCATGTCACTCATGTGCACGGGAGCAAGTGTTCTCTGGCACGGACCTGTCACCTACTAGTTAAAGAGTCAACTAATTTGGCTGCTCTGGCTTTGCTGAATGCAGGAGGGAGATGAAAATGTGTATGATCTGGAAAGATACAAGGGTATGTACTAAAAACTGCCCTTAGTATTAAATCAGAGAACTACTACAGAGGGCAACTTCTCAGCAAAAATCCCTTTAGCAAGCTTTGTGGACTCCCTAAAACATGTGGGCTAGTTCCGCAAGCCTCCTGGAGACCTGACACCCAGAGTGGTCCAGACCCATGAGTTGCTATATAGTGACCAGGGACAAGGATGCCTGAACCCTACTGTCCACTCCTCTGCCTAGAGATGAATTCTTTTCCTTTCTCCCTCCCTGAGAGAGAGTGATCACTTGTGAAATGGTCCTTTGTGGTGAGATGTTCAACAAAGAACAGCGGACAGAATTGTAGATAATCCCCGTACCAGCCAAGCAGTCAGTCCCTCCCTACTAAGGCTGGCACTGGGGTGGTCTACCCTCTCCTCAGCTGCCCCTGAGTGGCACTGTGGTGCTGGCTGCCCTCACCTTCCGGCACTTCCTGCTAATTTCCAATCCACTCACAGGAACACCTCTTCTGAAATCTCTCCCACCTCAACCAAGCATGGGAGGCGCCCATGACTCCTCCAGTAGCTCTGGGGTGGTCTCCATCTCTGAGCTCAGAGGCTGCCATTTTTCTGTAAAACAGAGAGGCTTTTCATTTGTAAAACACCTGAGGCTGTGATGAATCACCAGTCAGACCAATGCCCCAAATGACAGACGGCATTAAAGTTGGTGAGAAAACCAAGGGGAAGATTTTAGGTTCCTGCAAGGGGAAAGGACGGGGGAGAATTCATTTAAATTTATTTACTTATTTATAAGTATCAAGTTTCAGGATATCTTTCAAAGGTGTCCCGTTCAATTCTCTGGCCAAAGCGGGAGGGTGTACTAGTCTGTGACGGTGGGGGACATAAGCTGCCGCCACCGGGTGGATTACTGGCTTAATCAGCTGTCTGCAGGACGCCGTGGAGCCCATGTGCATCAGAAGAGCGGCTTGATTTATGGCTCTGGGGTTGCCACTTCTGGGGGGCAAGCTCTGTTCTTCCTGCACGACTCTTGAGAACACCTGGTCTGATCTAGTTGCTTTCTCTCTGAGCCCTAAGCCACCCTGCTCCCCCAAGAAACAACCTTGCAGAAGCCTTGAAGGAACATGAAAACATATAAATTACTAATCATGTCAAGCGACCTGTGGGGGCCACAGAGCTGAGGTTCACCTTATGAAACACCAGCTTCAAAATATATGACTACCCAAAACAAACCGGGACAGACTGAAACCGATTTCATCACAAAAAACCCATGAACGTGATGGGGCTGGCAGCCCCTCTCTCCACACCTCTGCCCCTCAAGTCCTTTCCATCCTCCCTGCCTGCTCCTGACTGTGGCTCACTTCACAGGGCCTGGAGGAGCTCAGAGGGAGGGAGGAAGAAGGAAACAGACCTCCCGTGCTTATGCAGGCTGGATATGCCCCCTTGTCCCTTCAGGCTGGCGAATGATCTTGACATTACTAGTTCTGTGAAATAATGCACACCCCCCTAGGGTTCCGACACCCACTTTTCAATTATCCTCGAATTACCCAATTTGATGAGGCCATTTCCCGCCAAGACCCTAATACATATACCAACAAGGCTTTCATATTTATTATGCCCAGGAACCAATGGCCTCGGCATGTTGTAAATGTGGACATTAAAAAGCCCCACCCTGATCAGGGCCCCAGACCACTTTAAGGATCCTTGTTGGAACCTCAGGCCTGGCAAGCTCCTAGTAACAGTAACAGGCCCTCTGCAGCCCAGGCTTAGGGAATGAAGGGTTTCTGGAAAGCTTGTCCTTCTGGGGTTCCAGTCTGAGGGGTCAGGTGCTCATCCATAGAAAGCAGAGGTCTGCACAGGCTGGAGTCTTGGGCCTGGGCAGTTTCCATTCCAGGGGGACCCTCTATGGATGGGAGTGCTGAGAACCCTCACACGCTGCTCTCAGCTGGAAAAAGCAAGGCTGGGAGACAGCAAAGGCCTGTACTGGGTTTTGGCACTTGCGATATAACAACTTGGAGGAACACTGCAACACTTTCCAAAGAGGCTATGAAGAAACAGTGTTAACCAGTTAGCCAATGGAGCGCTCCATCCCTCTCCCCTTCCCTACTCCCACACTTCGACTGGGTAACTGTTGTAATTATGTCTTCTTCCAATGTTTCAAGGTCCTCAAACAATTCCGGTTCTGTTACAGTGTCTGTGCCTGGCATGGAGAGAGTGGTATGGTCACCAGCCCTCAGGAGAGGCCATGCCTGAGTGTGTTCTCCACACCCAGCCTTGCTGCTGAGGCTCCCATTGGCCCTGCAGACAGTTGTTCTTGCCACCTTCCCTCCTAGATGAGGTGCACCAGCAGGGCAGAGCCGGCTGAGCCCAGCACCAAGCCCAAGCATGTGTAAAAGGACATGACCACGCCCGTGGCCTCAGCCAGTTCCCGGGACACAATCTTGGGGCCGTAGATGAGAGCCAGGGTGCTGAGGTAGCCATTGCTGAGCCCCAGGAGGGAGGTGAAGAGCACAGGGTAGACGTCGGACTGGAAGACCACTGTCTGCAGGTGGACGCGGGGCTGGTAGTTGCAGAACACGAAGAGGGGGACTAGGAATGTTCGGAGGAGCACCACACCAGGAAGCACCTTACTTTTGGGCCCTGGCACCTGGATCCAGGCTGTGATCTGCCGGCCACACAGGTCAGCAAAGTTGTACAAGAGGAAGGTAGTGAGGGGCACAAAGAACTTGGTGGTCCACAGTGAGCCCGAGTCCTTGTTGAGGGACTCGATGTTGGTGGAGATGGCGGGGAAGATCAGGCTGGTGATGAGGAAGAGGTAGATAATGCAGAAGCCCAGGCCAGCCGTCTTCTTCAGGATGAAGCAGAGGGGGGGTGTCGGGGAGTCACTGGATCCAGGAGCCAACAATGGGGCATTGGGGGTGTCTTGAGGCAGCTGCTCTTCATTAGAAACCACCTGGGCTGGCTTCATAGGTCTCATGTAGTACCTTTGGGGGAGAGAGGGCAGGTGGTCAGAGGGTCTAGAAAACAGAGTCACTTGGTATCTCCAGGGTTAAGATGCGGGGAGGGGAGCCTTCAGATCTAGCAGGTAGACTAAGCCCCATATGGCTCACAGCCCTGGATGCCCGTAGATGACATATGTGTGGCAGGGGGCCAGAGGGAAGCCTGGACAGACCCTGTCCTGCCTGCCTTGGCACTACCTGAAAGGCTGGATGCCAGTCTGTTGCTCTGTGGTGGTGGCTATGCCACAGCAAGGAAAGAGGAAACCTGCACTGACCCACATGGTGAGCCTGGAATCCAATCCCGCTCTCTTATCTTTGTTTTGCTTTGGAAAGAGGTGAAGATAAAACAGATTTTCAAAATATAAATTTTAAAATTATAAAGGTAACACATGCTTGATGGCATGAGCCCAAGTTAATACAGAAGAGAAATGATATAGTAGAATGAGGACACCTACCTCTTATCTTTAGTCACTTAGGGGTACTGAGGGTCAAAAATCTGGTGGATATTGTTCCACACATGTGTAAATACCACATACACATGCACACATACACAGTTATGTCTCTTACGCAAAAACAGGATCAACTATATCTTTTATAAAACTTTCTTCAACAGTATAACTCCTAAATATATAAATAAATGCCTTAACATATACATAACTGCCTACACACAATTGCCCAAGAATAATATCTTGTGGTCCTCTCATTCAAAGACATAGGAGTCGTTCTCTCTTGTTACTTGCTGCATAGTATTTCACTCTGTTCCCCTATTGATGAACATTTACATTAGCTTCAATTTCTCTCTACTAAACAGTGCTGCAATGAGTATCACTATATATAAATCTTTGCACAGAATTTCAGTAGGGCAGGTTTCTAAAAAAGAAAGTACTGAAAGTTTATTCCTTAAACATTTTGGAAGATACTGATAAACTGCTCTCCAAATAAGAAGAATTACTATTCAAAGTAACACTGAACATAACACTTTGATCTTGAGCCTGTCTTGTTTCACAATCTCTAAAGAAAGGAATATTCTTACTTCCCCCTCTACTGAACCAGATTCTTGGCTGAAGTCTGCTCTGAGAAAACTCCCCACCAATTTCCTGTGGTCAAAGCTCTTCCTCATGACTCCTTCCAGATCTGACCATCTCATCTGACCCTTGGCTTGCAGCCCCTACCACAGTCAGCACATCCAACATTGCACGAGGCCAGGTTCCTCCAGGGAAGACAGGGAAGCCCAGGTCAGCCCTTCTGGGTGCAGCATTTATGGGCTCCCTTTGAAGTAAGGTCAGCCTGAGCAGCCTGGGGAGCCCAGCTCCTCAGTAGTTTTTATAAACCCAGAAGTCTTGACCAAGCTTAAATCAGCAAAGAAAGAGAGAGGCACAGCCCTGGGTGCAATCTCTACACTTGGCTGGAAGGGCTTGTGGCCGGCCCAACTAGGCTGGAAACTAAGTTGACCAACTGTCCTGGTTTGCCCAAGACTGTCCTGGTGTTAGCACCGACAGCCCCATTTTTGGAAGCCTTACAGTCCCAGGAAACAGGGAAGCTGGACATCCTTTGGGAGACAGACCCAAAGAAACAGAACTGGGGAGACAGCCAGAGTGGTGGGAAGCTCCTGCCCTTCAATTGATATAGTGACTCAGAAATAATTAATAAGCAGTGACAAAGTGTCAGTGTATGGCGTCCTGGGGGGAGCCCAGGAATCACAGAAACATCATCATGGAGCCCAGTTGGGCAATTTTTGATAATGGTCCTGAAGGAGGGAAAAATAATGCCTGCCTTTCCTACATTAAACAAGATAGTAGGTACGAAAATGCCTTGAAAAGAGTAAAACACAAGCAAAAATGAAAGTTGTTTTTTTTAAAGAGTAGGGGAGGGGATGGGCAGGCGCATGGGTCTGCAGCTGCCTGGGATATGGGCGACATCAAGTCAAGAAGTTCAGTCCCCTTTTATCCTCCTGGAGCCACTGAGGCCAGCTGAGGCTACAACAGTCATCTAACTGGGGGAAGCCACCTGCGCAGGTGAGATGGAGCTTCCAGTGAAGGCAGAGGCTCTGAGGATCACGAGGTGACTCTCCTTACAGGGATGGGAGCGGGGGGAGAGGGATGAGGAAATGCCCTTGGGGTTGCTGGCTGCGGGTGCAGTACAATATGGTGGGAAGACGGCAGCCCTGAAAACAGCTCCAGGTTCACATCCCGGCCTGCGACCCGGGCATGTATCCCCTGAAGCCTCAGTTGCCTTATTTGTAAAATGAGAAAACTTAGTAACAACTGCACAAGGTTATCATAAAAACTGAAAAGCATGCATATGGATACTGCTTACTTCAGTGCCACGCCTCAAAATAGGTTCCCGTGGCAAAGCACAGCCAGCACCTGACCCCAGCTCTGCCGGCTCACACTTGTAGGGCCCTAGCCCCCAGCCTTCTCTGCCTCAGCTGATTCACCTGCAAATGGGGAAAATAATGCCTGCCTCTCCTGCATTAAACAAGATAGTAGGTATGAAAATGCATTGAAAAGAGTAAAACACAAGCAAAAATGAAAGTTGTTTTTTTTTAAAGAGTAGCAGGAAGCAGAACAGAAAAAGGAGAAATAAGAGAGAAAGCGGGGGGGGGGGGCAAAGGCAAGAAAAGAGGCCCCTCAGGGTGAGGAAGGGTCTCAAGAAACACTGACCAAAAACACAGGCTTGTAGTTGGGTTCAAATCTTGATTCTGCTGCCAACGGGCTGTGGGGCTCATGCATGTTATTCAACCTCGCTGCGCCTAATTTTTGTCAGTGATTGGGAATACACATTATAAACCCCAGGGCAGCACTCTCCATAGGAGGCTGGGGGCATCAGAGGAGAGATGACCCATCCCACCAGGCTCAGCGCAAAGCAGGAGCAGCAGAACACTCAGCAAATGGAGCTTCTGTTCATCACCATTATTCCTCAGGTCCCACTTCCTACGCCTGCTCTCATAGGGAAACTCACAGATTCTAGCTGCTGGGGGTGCAGCACAGAGCCCATTAGCCCAGCCAATTTATTGAGCAACTACTAGGAGTCAGGAACAGATTTAGACACTGGGATACAATGGGAAGAAAAATCCACACAATATCTGCCCTGTGGGTGCTCACACCCAATGGGGAGGGTAGTAAGGGAGGAAAGAAATACTGTACTCTAATCAGGTGCAGAAGAATGCAACAGCTCATGTAAAGATACAGACACACATGAAGGATGCACTGAGGGCGAGTGAGGCCTCACCTGGCGTACTCCAGCCGGGGCAGCAGCAGGTAGAGCATGATGCAGAGCCCCAGGAAGACATCTGCAGTCAGGAAGAAGGCCAGGGCGCTGTTCGTCACATCATTGGATGCCGCCAGGTCCACCAGCGCGGCCACTGCACTGATGGTCCCTCCCATGGCTCCTCCTGCCGAGAGCAGAGGACACCATGGACATGGTCAGGGGTGGCCCCCTTCCCTGTGCCTCAGGCCTGTTCCCCCCCCCAACTTAGGTTTAAAAAATGCAAAACAACAATTCTCCCTGCTGAGAAAAATGCAGCAGTTCTTGCAATAGCCCCCTGCCTTGGCAGACACGGGGGTTCTGCAGCCGCGAGCTTTCTGACTCCTAAGAGGGCATTGGTTTTCCAGGTTCTGCTGGCTTGCATAAGGTGGCAGGTAACCTCCAAGGAGGCCCCACCAGCCTGCTTCTTGTGTGCACCTCTAACTCTGACCATCCATCTCTACTGTCCTTGTGGTAGGGTCTGAAATGTTAGATCCAGGGCAGGCACATCTCAGAGAGCGCCTCACCCCTCCCTCCAAGCAAACACCCACCAGCCAAACTGGGAGAGAGGCTCAGGCAATGCCCTAGCACGAGGCGCCACTACCTCTAGGGGAGGCCATCCACCAGGGGTGTCCCTGTGGTGACACAGCTACCCAGACCTCACAGAATGTCTTTCATATCTGAGACACCATACACGTGGGCAAGCGTGCACACACGCTCTCACACATACTCACAACAGATGACCACATACTCATGCATGCTCTGCACCCTATCAAATACACACACACTCACACCCATGTTCAGTCACACTCATATACACACTCATTCACACACGTTCACTCATTCTCATAGACACACAAACACATATACTTACACATACCCACACATACACAGCCTCGGCCACACATATTCTCATATATACTCACACATACACACACACACACACACACACACACGCATGCACACATGCAACTGCCTCACCACATGGAATGTTCTCTCTTGCCCAGGGCTTTGACATGGGACCCTGGTGACCGTGTGCCACACATTTCACAGGCATCACAACCTAGTGGGCTGTGGGTTTGAGGCCAAGCAGGTGAACGTCTGACCATGACACTGCCACTTGCTCACTGTGACACTGAGGCTGCTGTGACTTCTTGGAGCCACAGTTTGCTCATCTGTAAAATGGGGATGAAGACCCTGTTTAGAGGGCTGCTCTGAGGACCCACTGAGATGTTGCTGAGAAAGGGCCCAGCACACAGGAGGCATTCAACACAGGTTAGTCTTCTTCTTTGCCACACAATTACTTCCAGCAATTACTCAATTACTGTTGCGCTCTCAACAGTGCACAGCAGAGTCAGGGCTGCACGTGTTACATGTGTGAGCAGATCTCTGACTCCTCTCTGCCTCTGTGTATTTGCTAATGCTGGTTTTTCCCATACAAGAGGTGGCGATGAGGTGGAGTTGGGACAGTGAACCATCATTACCAACACAGTAGTGACCGGTTAGTACGGGGGAAGGGGGCCTGCCTGGCTGGCGGAATGGATTATCCATCCCAGAGGACTGGGTATGGATCCTCAAAAAGACAAGAAGCTGGACTGCAAACAGCAACCTGGTCAGTGTAGGCACAAACTGCTTTGTCACCATCCGCCAGCTCTGCCAGCACACCACTTTTCTCCCTGCTGTTGCACAGACTTGGAGTGGGAGAGGGGCAGTCCAGACCCTTGACTGCCGTGATGTCCATTACCACTGCCTCACCCATATTCTGAATACCATCTCTGTGGCTCTGCAGGGAATAGCCCCTGGCTCTGATGGACAATCCTTCTCCCTGACCTTCTCAATATAAGCCCTATTAGCCTGGATGGGGCCAGAGGTTGGGACTTGAAAGAAGGGCAAAGAAAAAAAAGTTAGCATAGAGATTAAGAGCACAGACTGTAGAACCAGAACATCTGGGTCCAATTCAGGCTCTATCACTTCTAGCTGTGTGATTTTTGGCAAGTCACTTAACCTCTCTGTGCCTCTGTTTCCTTATTTGTAAAATGGAGATGTTAATAACACCCAACTCTTAGGATTGTTATGAAGATTAAAAGGATTTTTACTCAGAACAGTAAAAAGTACTCAGAACAGTGCCTGGCAGTGCCTGCCATATAAATCCTCTCTGATTCCCTATTTGTTGTCTGGCTATTTCTGTACTTCCCACATCAAAGGAGCAACAACAGGGCAAACCCTTTGCTAAGAAGGTGCCAACTTCTGAGAAGCTATAATCCCCACCTGGGTGTTTTGTAAGAAGTGGGGTTAAATTCACTAAGACATTCCCCGGCTGCCCTGAGGAAGAGATCTTAACATCACTGCCTGTTGATTTTCCTCTCTCTCTTCCCAACTTGTAGAGAATTTACAATATTATCATCAACAACAAACCAGGCCTCCGGGAGCTCATCCTTCATGACTTCCCTACTTTTATCTCATCAGTTATGGAAATACATGTAAATGAAGGATTTAAAAAAACACCAGTACAAAACAAATGAATTGTTCCTCAGATGCCAACACACACAGAATTCACAGATGGGCTCCTCTGGACCAAAATCTAACAGGGGTTGCTGAGGTGGCACTGGGGCTTCTGAGAGGCCAGGCTTTCCAGGGTGATGGGCACCCATTGGGGGCCACACACAGTGATGACCATGGCTTGGGGCTCAGGGTAATTAGGACTTCAATGTGACTACTAGATTTTTCCATCTTTTCAAAAATGGGAAATTCACAGGATAGTTCCTTTTTCTAGAAGACCTTCAGGTGGCCAGATGAACCTGAAGGGTCACTTGCCAACATAAGTGGTGTTTAGTCATGGATTCCTGGAGAGGTAGCCAGCAAGGCTGATGTTATGCAGAGAACCTCCTCCAGCAGGATGGAGGGAGATGCGGGGATAACAGCTTTTCTCTGAGACAGGTGAAGGAAAGGATTAAATCCAGTGTTGGGGGGCCATTTCCTTCAGCCTCAGCATTCCATTCTTCAAATATTGCTTTGGGAATACTGATTGTACTTAGAAAACTTAGCAATGGATCCATTTAACATATTTTTTTTTAATGTTAGGTCCAAAGGTTTCCCAGGATAGAGACAGAAGCCTAATTTTCTATCAAAAATGGCAAACAGATTGGAGTTCACATCTGAATTCAGATCCATGATAGTAAATACTCCAGTGCTGTGTTAAGAAGGATTCAGTGGCTCAAGAGTAAAGACACAGATCTATCAATGGTGTCTGGCACTGGTGCGGGAGTGGGGAGCGGATATATACTTGTCAAGATATTTGTTATCCCCGCCGCATACTACCTGGCATTATTAATTAATAGGCACACAGCAGATGCTTTGTGAAACTCCTCAAGCGGGCAAATGCTTCCAGCACTCCTTCATACGACAGGGATTGTGTGGAGATGCCAAACAGAGCAGCTGAGCCTCCAGTCTTGCTTTAAGGGATGGTGGTCTGCTGGGAAAGCACAGATTCTTACTGACCCAGCGCCGTTTTATCTTGTTGGGACATCTGAGTGAGAGAACAAAACTGCTAAGGTTTAGATAACAGGTTGAGGATTGGCATCAAAATTTCAGCTAATGGAGGTGGGCCTAAGTTAATTGTCAGTACCCCATGAAAGGCCAAAGCTCAAGTAATGGGGTTTATTTTCTAGGCTATCAGTGCTAGAGAGGCTTGGGTCTTATTCATCTTTGAGATCCCAGGGCATATCTGGCCAAATTGCAGATTTGTAATACAAAGAAATGACCGTTATTATTCCAGGCCACCAAGTTTGGAGGTGCTTTGTTACACTGTGATAGAAAATGGAAACACACCTAACATTCATTTCCTTTCCTAGGAGAGCTATCACCTGCTCAGCTCTGGCTCCTCCGCACCACGCTTGAGAGAACCAACCTGGCCATCTGGAACCCAGCACTCACCTGATATCAGGGCCTGGGAATTCCTCATAGGGAAGGAACCGGTCATTCCAAAGACGCTGCTGTTGAAGATGGTGGAGGTGCCACTGATGATCACCATGCAGACGATGGTGACAACAAAGAAACCTCGGGTCCAGGAGGAGGTATCCACTTTCACCAGCACGGTCATCACCACGAAGATGGTCAGCATGACGGTCAGTGAGGCCAAAACTCGGACATGAATGGGAACCCTAGGGCAAGGATGTCAAAGCAATCAGAGATGCCTTGGGCCTCCTCTATGGGGGGCTGGGGACCTGGGGTTGGTGAACATTCTTTACGGAAGAGGTGTGCTCAGTGGTCAGGACAGTCCACTCTGCAGTCAAGGGACCTGGGTCTGAACCCTGCCTTCCTGGCTTACTAGCTGTGTGGCCTTGGGTAAGTGACTCAGTTGCTCTGGTCTCAGCTGCTGCATCTGTACAACAGATGCTTTACCTCAGGGGATGAGGTGAGGATCACAGGAGGGAAGTGTGCTGAGTGCCGAGAGCAGGGCAGGGCCTGGTGTAGGGCAAATGCTTAGCAGATGCCACTTCTTCTCATTTTGCAGTGAGGTTCAAGATAGGATTTGGGGGCTTCCAAGGCAAGCTCCCTGCTACTCCTGCCTTAGGGCTCAGCCCCTGCTGGCTTTGTCTAGTATTTAAAGAAAGGAACCATCTATTGGGCTTCCTTTCCCCTAAAACTTAGCAGGGAGGTGAGGAGAAAGAAGGAACTAAAATCATCCTCACCATCATATTAAACACTCAGATGGTACTTAATTTTTGCTAGGTACTCTTTTAAGTTTTTTCCATATGCTAATCCCTTGAATTCTCACAACAGTTCTCTAAGAAGGCATTCTTACCTGTCCCACACAGACAGGGAAACTGGGGGCAGAAAGGCTAAGGACTTGCTCAAGGTCATGGGGCTGTGACCCCAGGAGGCCTGGCTCCAGTTTGCACACTCAGAATGACAGTCTCTTACCTCCCTGGGAATAAAGGAAATACGGGCAGCCCAGCACAGATGGCCAGGGCAGGTCTCCTCTGTGAGGGTGGCAATGATCTTGGTGTGGGCGGAGGCTGAGGCCAAGAGAGTGTGGCCCAGAGCCAGTCTTACACCTGCTTGTAAACCCCACACTCCTCCCAACCCCTTCCCTGGCCCCCATGGGCATGGGGGGTGGAGCAGAAAGGGAGGCTCTCTGAGAAACTGCACATTTTTATTCTAGGGAGAGAGAACATCACCCAGAGGGGCTGTTTAAATCATCAGATTAGACTAAACTCTCAACCAGATCGGGAACTTAGTTAATTTTTCTGCTAATCAGTAGAAGGGGGCTGGGAGAAAAGCCAGATTAGTTATACACAATTTGGGGGAGAGGCGTGAACAAAAAAGGGAAAAACTTGCAAGGCAGGAAAATACATTATGTCCATAAATAGGTGTGAAATGATGAGCATGAAAGGTAAGAGAGAATTTTTTCAAAGGCCTTTTGTGGCCCCAGGCTAAGCTGGGTTTTCTTCCCATCCTCGAGGAAGGGAGAGCAGGTGCTGCCACCGCTTTGTGGGGAGCTTTTTGAGGAGCCAGAGGACAGAAGAAGCCAGCGTGTTCGCTCTACAACCTGGGCTGAGGGACCACTGTGTGTCGGGGCTGTGCTGAATGCTGGCACACAGGGCAGACCAGGAATGGGCATTTTATTCATGTGGACAAAGTGCTCCATGGGAGGGTCACAGGCATCCTCGGCACATCCCAGGGACACAAAACCTACCTTGGGCATTGGAAGGTTTGGAGATGACACCTAAGCTGGTGTGAAAGGTGTGTCTGACGTGAGCACTAATCTTGCAGAGGGCCTTGTCCACCTGTAAGTGCCCGGGCTGATCCTCAGCATGGGGTGTGCAGTGGGGGTGTATTTTCTTTTTTCCACCCCCCATCTCTTGGGAGAATGCTGCTCCTCTATGCCAAGTCATTCAGGGAGGTGGTCACCATACTGTTCACTCCCACCTGGTCACAGACAATGGGCATGTGACTCAGCCTGGGGTGATCAGAGTGTCTGGGGCTGCTGGCTGCTAGACTGGGTTAGGAATAAGTTGGTGAGCAGGCAGGGCCAGGGGACTGCAGGGGAGAGAAGCTCGCTTTCTGCTGTAACTGTGTCAGGGGCTGCAGGCTGCCAGCTGCAGGGGAGGCTGCATTTGGGATAAAGTCAAGCAAAGACACGCAAAGTCCAGGACACACAAGAGGAAGACCTGAGGATGTCTGCAGTCACCTAGATCCAGCAATGCCTGGAGGAAGAGCTGACTTTAATTTTTGAGGTACAGAATAGAAAATCCAAACACACCAACACAAAAAGCTACAGCAGGATTTTGAACTGGGGAGCCACAAGGTCAGAAAACCCCAGTATGTACAGGGGATCCCTGCCCAAGTGCCCTCTCTCTTACCAGGAAGTAACTGCTGGTGACAGGTAATGAACACCTCCCTGGGGCAGCCTTCACTGACAGCCGGAGGTGGGTGGTGGGTGGTTGAACACCCCAGCTCCCTCTCCCCGGGCCTTTGTTCCACATAGGCTCTGAGAATTCCCAGGCAGGATCAAGTTTAGCCACCCTCTGTTGGAGCCTCAGGAGGCATCCTTATTGGAAGTCTTCCCTTCTCACTCTCCCTTGCCCACTCTCCTACCTTCATCTCCCAAACAAACCACTCACTTGAATCCTTGTTGCAGAGTCTGCTTCTGGGGAACCTCATATTAAGACCATGAACTAAGATGCATCTCCACAGGTCTGCAGGGCCCTCAGCCAGGCAGGAGCTGGTGGGCAGTGAGGAAGGCACTCAGGCCCCCGGGAGCCCAGAGTACCTATTGTAATGCACACCAGGTACCCTGGATGCTGGTGGCCAGACCTCAGTACTGATGCTCTAGGTGATCCTACCCACTCAATCTTGTCAAGGGGTGCCCTGCCCCCTCTCCTAGTGTTAGGTTATATCGAGGCTGCTCCTTAACACTAGAAGTAGGAGATGCCCCACTAACCTCAAAGGTAAGAGCCAACCAGGGAATGGAGCCTGGGTCAGGAGAGGGGAGTTCTCTGCCACCAACTGTGTGACCCCAGGCAAAAATTCAACCTTTCTGGGCCTCAGTTTCTTCATCTCAAAAGAAAAGGTCAGCTGCCTTCCAGTTTATAATTCTAAATCTTTGGAAATTCAAGTGGAGAGAAAGACTGGGGATAAATGCCTACAAGTTTTAACAGTTCCTTGGGGGAAAATGAAGGCAAAGAACAGACTAGGGAGTTAAGAGCTCTAGAGGCAAGAGCAGGGCCCAGGGGGTTCTCACCCCCAGGGCAGGGCTGGAGCAGGTGGGGGCAGGTAAATACCTGCTGGGCGCATAACTGACAAGCAAGGATAGCAGCAATGGGGGCAGATTTTGAGCTGGTCCTAAGCCTTCCAGTTGCTCTTCCCTTGTGAACCCCCTCAGCATGGCAGGGAGTCAGCTGTAAACATCTGCAGCATTTTAGCCTAGTCCTGGGAATGGCCTCTGCCTCTAACCACCTCCTCACAACACAGTGCAGACACAGCCCAGCCCAGGAGTGCTGCCAGCATCATGGGGCTCTCCAGTGCCTGTTATGACAAGGTAATTAGTTGCTTGAACAGGAAGGTTACTTTGGAGAGAGCTGGGGGACTTCTTACAGGTGCCCCCAGGGCGGAAATGAGGGAAGAGTGAGATGAAGGAGAGGTGGCAGTAAACGCCAAATGCATTACAATGGCAATGCTGTTTGCAACTCGAACTGACCTCCCCCCTCCTCCCCAGTCGGCCTGCTAATTACCTGCTGCTTAGCCCAGTCTCCAAAGGAGCCTCAACCAAGAGCTCCAGGTCCTTGGAGATCTCCCCTGGAGCTATTTTCAATGTTTATACACGTACCACATGCAAGTGCACCCCACAGGCCTGTGAAGGGGTTGGCTTGCTCTATGGGCAGGGATAGTGGCCCAGGGGATGACAACACTGTTAGAAATTATGGAAAATCTAGGCAAGTGTTGCCTGCTGTCAGTGATTCTAGGACAGGGGATGGCAGAGGTGACAGTCCCAGCCCTGCGACCCCAAGGCAGGGCACACCAAAATAAAGATTTGAGGAGAGGGCTGCCAGCTGTATCCTACCACCTTGCTTGTGAGGGCTCAGGACCCCAGGGGACAGATTTCTTCTTAAGTCTCCAAAATGTAAATCCTCCTCATAAGTATTTATGATGCTACAGATTTAACATAATAAAACACTTGGCGATTATGGATGAGCCAGTCAGAGAAAGCCATGGTGCTCTAGGAGGGGAGAAAAGGAGACATTTCAATTTCGCACATTAAATAAAAAACATCTTCGCCCCAAACCATCTTTGCAGCACTAGAAACAGACGGAGACCTGGGAGCATTTTCTCACATTGCCCTCATCTCTCTCCTGGTGGAAGCAGGAGAAACCAAGAGCAAGTCCAGGGGTGGGCTGGACCCTCCTGAAGGGTGCTCTGTATGCTGAGCCCCCAAAACCATCTCCCCCACCCCAGGTGGTCCACTGCAGAGGGACCTGCCTCCTTCAAAGCTTCTTGTAGTTTGAAGCCAGGGCAAAGTAAGGAAAATCTTTGCCCAAGGGAAGCAGGAGGCAAAAGGCACATTCAGGCTCAAATTAGGGGCAAAAAGGGTCATGGTTCAGATCGTGCCTCCACCACCTTAATGGCCATGTGCTCCTGGGAAGTCACCTCTACGAGCTAAGTGGCCCATTTATATATAAAACAGGGTAGCAGGTTTCCTACTTGTAGGTTTCTGCTGTGAAGATTAAAGGAGATGATGTATCTGCTCAGAAGTGCTTACTACTCTTAGCAGATTTTTCGTTTGACTGCCTCTGACTCTGCTGACCCCAGTCCTGGCTGGCTTAAGGCCTGCTGTTCCCCCAGGACCATAGAGGAGGCAGTGACAGGTAAGAAGCAAGTTCGTGTCATCCCTTACCTACCCTGTGGGCTGAGGCACAGCTCCTGACTTCCACCTGGAAAATGGGCAAAGTCATGGCTTCCCTCCCGGGTTGCCATGCGTCCTAAGAGATATAACAAGGCACCAGGAGTCATCCTGTAGCAGGGTGGTCTCCAGAGAAAGGGAGGTTCCAGGTTCTTGGCCCTTGCTTTAGTTTACATAGTGACTCCGCAGCTAGAAGGATGGAGAGGTTCTCATATGGTAGGGGCTATACCGATAGGACACCCCCCCCACCCCCAGAACTAGCAGAGCATGTGGACAGAGAGGATGATGAGACAGGAGGCCTGGAAAGAAGAGAGAGCAGAGGGAAAAGAGGGATCCTACTATCATGACTCTGTACCCCATCTTCCTCGCCCTCCTCTTCTTGAGTCCCATTCCTTTCCTCATTCTTCCACTCTGATGAGTCACTGTCAAGACTCAGCTCTGCACTCAGGGCTGGCAGTGCTGAGGGCACGACTGGCTCTGTCCCTAGCTACATGCCTCCAACCTCCTCCTGCAGGGGTGGGGTCTCTAGAGGCTGAGCCCCACCTACTAGAACCCTGACTGTAGCTCTGTGTGCCAGGAGGGGCTTGAGAAGAAAGGTTAAGGGTCAAAAAACTTCTAATGGGGATTGCAAAGTCCTCAGTCTACCTGACCATCGTTCTCTAGCCTGTGCTTTGGTTTCAGATGGGTCCAAGTTCTCTTTTTTTTTTTAAGATTTATTTTATTTATTTATGCATACAAGAACTGCAGCCAGAGATGCAGGGGAGTAAGAGGATTCACCAGAGATAGAGTGGGGAGCAGAACAGGCAGATCCACTGAAATACACTGCTAAGGGGAGCAACGGGTGAGTCAGGAGAGGTCTGCTATGCCATGTGGGTAGCTCCCTGGCTGGGGATCGAACTTGTGCTGCAGTGGCTTCTAGCTTCATAGTGCTGAGACTTAATCCCTTACACCACCAGGGAGAGTGCAAGTTCTTTGATATTTCTTCCATGGAGAAGTGACACCAGAAGTCTATGGAGATTGGGTCACAAAAACTATGTGGCTTCTGCCTTGCTTTCTTAGAGCAGTTGCTCTTTAGTCAGATAAGAAAATTTCTAGTACCTTTGGCCAATATGTTAGGCCATGCTAGAGATGAGAGAAAGAAATCCCAAGCTCCCAGCTAAGCCTACCACAATCATAAAAGATACTACTTATTGCTATTACTGTTAGCCACTATGCTTTGCAGTCATTCTTATGCAATAATAGATAAAGTGCTTCCCACAGCATAATATTTGGGAAGACTAGGCTATTCAGGATCAGCACATACAGATGTAGTCAGTCCTCTCTTCCACACTCAGAGCAGACATCACTAATCAATCCCTCTCTGAAACCAGATCTGTCTTAGAATCCTGTTTAAGAATTCTAAGTGTTGTGCCCAATATCAGCAGACTCGGCGAGCATAGCCTCCAAGAACCAAAGACAGCCCGATGCAAACACAAAAGGGAGTTTATCACAGACTCAAGTCTGGGCTCACGGCACTTCCCAATGTAGCAGCAGGTATGGAGAGTCCCGAACAAAGGAAGCAGGGGTCTTTTAATAAGGTTAAATTATGCTGGCAGTTACTCATTGGCTACAAGGATGCGTTCTCCAACTTTGCCCGGCTATCATTCTAAGCTGACTGGCCCGGCTGAGATGCAGGTCCAGCCTGCAGCTCCAATTACAGCAAGTTCGCGCTCATTGGTGACAGGAGGGTGAGGGTGGAGTTAGGGTCGAAACTGTTGAAACTATCTCTGGAATGCAGTCTTTCTGGGACAGCAAAACCTAAAATTCTAAAATGGCAGTTACACACAAAATGACAAGCAATGGCTAAGAATACTTACGCTTGGTTCCACACTAAGAGGGCCTCCCTGGTGGCGCAAGGGGTTAAGCACCGCACTGTGAAGCAAATCTGCAGTCTCTGCAGCATGAGTTCGATCCCTGGCCAGCCAGGGAGAAACCCAAATGGCGCAGTGGACCTCTCCTGGCTTGCCTGCTGCTCCCCTCAGCAGTGCACTTCGGTCAATCTGCCTATTCTGTTCCCCACTCTGTCTCTGAGAGTGAATCCTCTCCCCCCCCCCCATCTCTGGCCTGTGCCCCAGCTTTTGTATGCATGAATAAATAAATCTTTAAAAAAAAAAGAATTCTAAGAGATCCTGAGATGCAGGCAGTCCTTGCAAACAGATTTGCCATCAGTGATCTGAATCATAATGTAGCCTCTGTTATCACCTAGTGGCAGCTTACAGGAAATGTAGGCAAAGTAGCTAGAGCAGTTGCACTTGTAAATCCAAATGGAGACTGAGATAACAGTCACCCAGTCACGGCAGTGGGATCTAACGGCTGTGCTAATTTGCTGGGTTATCTCCTGGTCATTCCTTCTTTCATGGTGCATTCAAATGGACACTCTCTCCTAGCCCTTTATTGACAGGGCCAAAATGTCCCCATGAGTCCTCTCTGTGAGTGGTCAACTGATAAGCTAATGTCACTGCTTAGCATTGGGCAGTTAGGTGCCCGTGTCCCACGCAGTGAGAGCTGGAGTAGTGGGATGCCAGATCCTTAACATAGTCAGCTTTCAGCAATGCCTGGAAGATCAGCTTCCACAAGCTTCCTGGGCCTTGCCCCAACATCCACGTAGTATACCTTGGCTGCAAGGTCTGTGCTCCTGTGTGTCTACCTGAACTTCTACCTATATATTTTGTCTTTCTGTTGATAGACAAAGTCCTCTGAGAGGAAAAAAGAAAAGCCATGTCCCCAGTGCTGCCTGCTGGCTACTGACACAGCCTGTGCTGGAAACTGAAAGTCCAGCTCCTTAGAGGGCATCTATTGGCAAGATCCCAGGGGTAACTAAGCTTCCTTCTCAGTCTTCGTGGGAAGAATCTCTGCTGGTTGCCTCCTACTTTGGTGAACAACATTTAAAGAAACAGAAAGTAGTGGCACTGGAAGAGAGAGGGGTAGAGAAAGCTAGAGGCTGGGATGTGTGGGGGGGAGGAGCTTACCTGTTGATGAGCAGGAAGTTTGCCATGAGGCACAGCACGGAGGGCACAGTGGAGGCGATGGCAAGGTAGCTCTCGAAGTAGTTCTGCAGGCAGAGAAGTGAGGAGGATGCTAAGGTCACTTGGGATAGAGAGGAGGGTCCCCTGGGGGGCAGAGACGGTGCCCCTCTTGGTGCAGGTCTTCCCACTGTCTTCAAATATCTGTGAGTGATGGGTAAGTCTAGCCCAAATAGCGTGTTCCTATGTCTCTGACCTAACACTACTCATTCCATTGCTCAGTGACAGTCACTAAACACTACTCATTCCATCGCTCAATGACAGTCACTAGTATGAGTTATGCTAAGTGCTGGGGACATAAGGAAGCATAAGACATTGTCCCTATGCTCAGCGAAGTCCCTGAAGCTCTTCAGTCCATGCTCCCAGCCAGCCTACCTGTCCCAACCACAGATGAGTCATTGGGAATAGGATTTAGTGTGTTTTGTCCTATCAGTCTTCTCAGCCCATTGCCAAATCTCAAGGTTATTAAATGGGTGCTGTTATGACCCCATCACTTCTCACACTCTTGCAACCAAGTGAGTTCTCATAGAAACACACCAGCCTCTACAGGGAAACTTTATTTTGACTCTGGATTTGCTCCCTCAATAGAGCTGCTATCCAAAGTCAGTCATTTTGGAACACGAATTAAAAAATATATATACACTCCTATACTACTTATAATAGCCAAGATGAGGAGACAATCTAAGTGTCCAGTGACAGATGAGTGATTATAAAGATGTGGTCTATATACATGATGGAATACTACTCAGCTATTAAAAAAAAAAAGATGAAATCTTGGCATTTACAACAACAAAGATGTAACTGGAGGGGAATATGCTAAGAAAAATAAGTGAGAAGGCAAAAGACAAATACCAGATGATTGTACTCATGTGTAGAATACAGAGAAACAAAACAAAACAAACCAAAACCCTGGGATTCTGACTGTAGAACTGAGGCTTTCAGAGAGGGAAGGGGGCTGGATGGAGACCCAGGGTATGATGGTGGAGGACTATACTTAGGTGGGGTGGGGGCGGGCTGGGGGTTGGGCTGGGGGTGGTGTGGTAACATACGTTTAAGGAGGTGTGATGCTGTATTCTATAACGTACACAGCGCTATGAACCAATAGCACCTCAAAAATAGACAAACAAAAACATTTTGAGAGGCAGTTCCTTGTCTGACCAAGATGAGTAAAAGGGCATTTTCCTGGGGGTATGACAAAGAGCACATGAGGCCAAAAGACAGATGAAGGATTCCTGAGACAATGTGCTGGGACTGATAATAATTGAAGCTCTGTGGCAACTGTGTTTTTGAAAACTCAGAGAACTATTCACTCATTACTGTGAATTTTACTGCCTATATATTATCTCTCAATATACCTGTCTTCAAAAAATAATTGGGTTGGGCCTCCCTGGTGACGCAGCAGTTGAGCACTGGGTTGCAAAGCTGCCCACAGCCTCTGCAGTGCCGGTTCGATCCCCAGCTGCTGGCGAGGGACCCACATGGCGCGCAAACCTCTCCTGCCGCGCCCACTACTCCCCTCAGCAGTGTACTTGTCAGTCTGCCTGCTCTGCTCCTCGCTCTGGCTCTGGTGAATTCTCTCACCCTCCTGCACTTCTGACTGTACCCAGTGCTTGCATAAATAAATAAATAAATAAATAAATAAATAAATCTTTAAAAAAAAATAATTGGGCTGACATTTCTTGGTTTTGGTCATTGCATGTCAAAACAGACCCCAGGTTGGGAAAGAGGATGGGTTCTGGGTAGTGGACGTATTTACATGTATTAAGAATTCCCTGAGTGTCAATGGGCTTTTGATGAATTATGGTGTTTGCCCTAAAAATATAAAATAACAAGCTATGCATATTCTACTTTGGAAACCTTATGAAACTGAACTTAACTGAGGAAATATTTTGCAAATACAAATGGTACAAATGTGCCAAAGCACAAAGAACAATGAGAGTAAAAAAATCCTGCTGATGTGCAAAGGGCTCTGGCAACTGTAGGGCTCACTCCAGTGTCTATGACACACTTCCTGCCTGTTAAAGATGGAGTCTCAGTGGGCGTGTAAGAGTGTGAAGGGTTTTTAAGATCTCAAAACGCCGCAAGTAAAGATGTCAGAATTGTGTGTGTGTGTGTGTGTGTGTGTGTGTGTGTGTGATATCAGAGATAGGGCAGAAGGGAATTCCACGTAGGAGGGTGAGAGAGGGGGTTAGTGCTTGAGAGCATGGGGATGAGTTTAGAATGGTCCCAGAGGAAGAAGGATTTGAGTCAGATCTTGAAACAGAAAATCAGATCTCTCCTTTCTGGAAGGGCTTGACTGCAACGTGGAGGTCAAGAAAAAAAGATGTCACAATGGGCTCTGGAGCACAGACGGTCCCATGGTCCCTTTTGATGCCTGCAGAGTACTTTGTGCTCTTTGAAATCTGTACCCTGAATATAAGGTAGCAGTGGCTTTGCAATTAAAATGATAATCACAGAGAGTGCAGTCCATCAACCATGCGCCTTAGAAATAGCCTGCCTCCTTTGAGGTGCCACCTCATTGTTCCTGCCCTGATGGGCTCAGCAGAGCCTGGACTGGTCTGAGGCATTCAGTCAATTACGTCTTGATACAGTGGCTGGGCCGACGTGAGGCCTGGCGGGCACCAGGCGGGAGCAATGGGAAAAGGCCCTGAGGAAGAGACCAAAGCAGTGGGGCCAAGCCTGTCCCAGCCCAGCCCCAATGAGCATGGCTGCTCATTCCACAGCGAGTCTATGAAATGGCCTGAGATCATATGGGGTGTAGAATCTGTCTTTGTTTTTTTGAGCAGGCTCAAGTTCCCTGAACAGTTTAAGAATGGGGATTTTCTAGGTAATTAAATGTTCAGGTGTATTGATATTTAAACAGAAAATGGTGCTTTCAATACCGGAAATCTTTTAAAATACTGACAACTAGACAAGGCTATGACTCCCTTTCTGTTGACTGAACCCACTTCTCTGTGTTATAAAGAACAAGCTGGGGGCAGAATGCCCTTGACCCTGGGCCAGCTTTCTACCAGCACAGACTGGGGTGCTGTCGATGGTCGGGTCAGTTGACATGGCACATGGAATTACTTTTTTAATGTAGTTCCTGATAAAAACATGAGATGGCTTTTAGTTACTTTTCTGCTAGATTTCTAGTATTAAAATGAGTTGTGGGGCCTCCCCGGTGGTGCATCGGTTGAGCACTGGGCTGCGAAGCTGCCTGCAGCCTCTGCAGTGCTGGTTCGATCCCTGGCTGCCAGCGAGGGTCCCACATGGCAGTGGCAGACCTCTCCTGCCGTGCCCGCTGCGCCCCTCAACAGTGTATTTCGTCAGTCTGCCTGTTCTGTTCCCCGCTCTGGCTCTGGTGAATTCTCTCACCCTGCCACGCACCTGACTATACCCAGTGCTTGTATAAATAAATAATAAAATGTGTTGTGGGGGACAGACTCTTTCCTGGCCCCCTTGTTCCCAGCCTCCTGGGTTCACACCCCTTTATGATCCTGTCTGCCAAGTGAAGGTGGGGCCTGTGGCTTCCTTCTAACCAAAAGAATCTGGCACAGGTGGTGGGTACACATGATTATGTGTACATGACATGGGATTATGTAGCACCCATCCCGATGGACTCACTTTCATCCTTGATGGCTGGGAGGAGGCAAGTGGCCATTCTGGGAACCCCATGTGGCAGGTCTACAGGTGACCGGTTGCTGCTGAGGGCAGCAACACCCAACAAGGAAGGGAAGATCTCAGTCCAGTAACTGCAAGGAACTAACAACCTGAGTGAGCCTAGAAGTGACCCTTCTCCAGTTCAGCCTCAGAGGAGACTGCAGCCTCACGAACCCCTGGATTGCAGTTGGTGGGACCCTAAGCTCAGGACCCAGTGAAGCAGTGTGACATAATACTGTGTCTTTTAAGCCATTCAGTTGGTAGTACTTTGTTATATGACATTAGATTCCTAATTAACGAAGGTTTCAGATAGTCAAGTTCCCACTAAGCAGGGTTTGTTCAGAATATTGCAGCCTTCTGTGCTATTTAGTATTCAGGTTTTTTTTTTTTTATTAAAATAATCAGCTGATTATGTCTTTCATTGAACTTCCTGCCAGACATGAAGACCAGTAGTCTGCCCATGAGGGGCACAAAAGTTATGCCTGCTGAGTACATTAGTCCCCTTAGTTTTCTCTCACCAGACCCTTCGCTGAAATTAGGGTGATTTTTGCCAGTGGCATGCACTGACTTTAAGAAATTAAGACTTAGTTTACATGTCCCCCCAGATCTGCTCACCACATCTGCATGTCAGGCCACTCGCCCCGCTATTCATTTCATGGTGACACAAAACTACTGCCATCGTTGACACCAGAAGAGGAGCCAACTACTAAGGAGAGGCCCCAGTGAGGCCCCTGCCAGGCTGCACCCTCCAAGACTCTTGCTTCCTGGGTGGCTGGGGAGAGGAGGGCAACACTTTCTGAAGGGTGGGGGAAGATAAAAACCCATGAGGTAGGCCTGACTTTCCTCTCCCTGGCTGATTTCTGAAACGTGGTGGCCCCATATGACTTCCCCAGAGACACCCCATGTGTCTGAGCAGCGAGCTGGGTTTGGTTGCATAGCTATGGCCAGCCCAGCCATAAGGCATCTTGCATTTACTCCCTTCCATTCCTGCCTCACTTCCTTTTTCTCTTGCTCTTAAGTCCCTAGCACTGCACTCCCAGATAGAGCACTCCCCTATGGCACATTTCCGGGCTCCTTTCTAAGAAACACCCAAGAGTGGAGCCCTATGTTCAATTCCTAATTATGTACTTTGCAGGCTGGCAGCTGGCATTTCCTTCTTGGGTTCCTCTCATTTGCTTCCAAGGGGTGCTGGGGCGACCTTCTCCCATTTTACTCAAAGAAATGTAAAGACACTGGAATCCTGTTTCAAACATGTTGCCGTTTGAAGGGTAAGAGAACAACCCTATTTCAAAGAAATCTGTAACCTCCACTCCACAGGGCGATTTAAAAGAATGCAATGTTTTGGAATAACTCATACCAAAACTCACCTCCCCTTGGGTCTGATTCC